CACCACTTCTCAACTTTGGAGAGCAAGCTAATAGGAACATACATCATCAATGTTTGAATCCTCACCCAAACATATAACTTGGAATTGTAGCAAAAGAGATGGCAGCAGATTTTTTTTTCGAGAAGAAGTTTATCCCAGTACGACAGAGGCTCAAGATGATTTGTCGACCGAAACTTGCAATTGGATTCCACACACTGTAGCATCCTCCAAGAGATCAGTAGTGGGTGCCAAGGCTCCAGGAGTGATCCCAGTCACAATTGCGTGATGTAATTGTTCAAAAGGTGGATTTTATAATTCTACTTAAAAATCATCCATTAAATAGAAAGAGACGATGTAAGTGGTGGGTACTTTTTATTTATTTAGGTCAACATGCTCACATATAGATACAATTCAAACTCATTTAAATTTACAATAATTGAAGTCATAGAGGATGAAAATACAAAATAGAGGGCAATTTTTATTCACATGTTTTTGTCATGAAGTAAGACAGAAGTTACACTCATTGTTAGAATCTCAAAAATGTCATGGGCAATTAATTAAGCCAATTAATATATACTACTATTTTTTACTTTGCTCTCATGGTTAATAAGAAAATATGTAAATAAAGATGTCAATTTTACATTTTTTTGAGTTTTTCTATTAAAGATGTTATTTGTTAATTTATAAATAAAAATGTCAACTTTTAATATTTTTTATTTAATAATAATAATTTTTAATTTTTTTATTTAATGATACAAACTTTCAATTTTTTTATTTAAAAATTAATTAAATGATAAAACTAATGTGAGAAACATATTTTTTAACCAAAATGTTATTTCTATTTTGTTTAATTTGAAGATTGAAGTCAAGTTACTAAAAGCATTGCAGTTGTATTATTTTATTGTCTTGAATTTTGTATGGCTTCAACACTACAAAACTCGAGGTCGAGTTTTCACCGAGTGAAGGAGAATGATGCAGATAACGAGAGAAATAATATATTTATTAGGTATTTATTATGATTATGAATCTACAAGAATTAAATGTAAATATTACTAGTAATTTATATTTATTAGGTTCTATTATTATCTTTTAATAAAGATTTAATTAGAAGTCTAATTAGGAAGTAAGTCTAATTTATATTTTTAACTTTTATATTTAAGCATAAGTTGTATTAAGATTATTCAGTTAAAATGTTTATAAATTGAAATGATTTTCTAAAAATCCTTAATTCTGCTATTCTTTTCCCACCCTTGCTTTTGTTTCTAAGTTTTATTCTCACCTTTGCTTTCTGTTCTACATTAAAATTTGGTATCAGAACTACCAAAATCCCACGAACCATAACTTCGATTTCCTTGAAAGAAAAACCCGTTGCTGCATTGATTTCAAAAAAAAAAAAAAAAA